TTCATTTTCCTTTGCTTATGTCAATGGTAGTTCTGACATTAAAGATCGCAAACTCTAAATACGAGGCTTCAAATCTATATGCTCTGAATGAAAATTTTGAAGGGTTTTGAGCACTCTAACAACCTTATGGTGCACATGCAACCCTACATGCTTTGGATCTTTGTTTTCTCTAATTATACATGCAATTTGATTTTCCAAAACATTATCCTAACTAGCATACAAATCAATGGTACTTGAATAACAAAAACTAGTTAGATGACTTACCTTTTGTTGTAGCTTGTTAACTTGGACCTTTAAGAGCCTAACACCCCAAATATAATGCCTCAAATGCTTCACAAAACACCACCAACAACGGAGGACTTGAGAGAGAGAGTGAATTGCACAAAAATCAGCTCTTATGATCTCTTAGAACAACTAGTTGCCCGATTTTAGGAGCTAAGGGACTCCTTTTATAGTGTGGCAAAGTCTAGGGTTACATCCATGTAAACCCTAATGAACATAACCTTTCATATTACTTAGGCTCCATGGGTAAAACCTCCATGGACTATCCATGGACTAACTTATTGGTTTAGCCCATCCTAAATAACCATAGGCCCACACTATAAGAATCATTGGTTTACTAAATCAGTCCCCGTATATTTAATTAGTCTTTTGATCACTGAATTAATTCCAAATTAATTCTTGATCAATACTAATCAAATAATATGATTTCACATTAATATATTAGAATTTATAATATATTAATAAATCATAAATAACCTCTTCTCAAAAGTCAATCCTGTCAAATTGTTTCGGTGAAATGCAACCCAAATGGACCATGCTATTTTCGGGTCAAGTACATACCAATTATAGTTATGGACTTAGACAACTTATCCAACAAAATCTCACAGGCGGATAAACATCAGATGGATAGTAACCAAAATAAGTAGATAATCCAGATAAAAGGTCATTCAGATTAAGGAATCCTAAGCAAACTTCGGATAAGTAGGAAGTTGTGGAAAGTTTAGGGCGGTATGGTGTTTCGTAGTCATAAAAAACTCTAATTGGATGGATTTTCCTTGGATGAGAACGTTATCTTAGTTGATGGTCTTAGGGGGTGTTTGGCTATACTTTAAGGAGTTTATTAACTTATTAGAAGTTCGACACTACTATAAGCAAAAAAGTGTTTGAATAAAAATAGCGTATTGCGATGAGAAACTGCTACTAAGTCATTTTTTTTCATAAGTTATCTCCCTATAATTTTTTAGCTTATAAGCTAATAAGTAATAAGTTTTTTTTTTTGCCAAACACCCCATTAGGTATTGGGAGGGGTATTGCTGCTAAGGAGATATGTTCATGACGTATTTCCTCACAACATAAACTTTGAAATATATAGAGGTGAGTTAGAGATACTAGTATCATACTCATATCAACTACTTTGCCAAACACTTTTATACAAATAAAAATCACAATTTCTAGCTTTTCGTTGTCGGCTATCAACTATTTTTGCAAATCATTGTTAGGAAAATATAACCCAAAATACACGAAAGAACAAAAAACAGAAACTGTTTATTGATGTTTGCGTTTAACACGGTTTTCTTAAAACAAATTCGCCAAATATGAGTGTTTGTTTCCCAAGATACAACAGTATAAAACATTTCTTCAAGATTGTATGAATCCTCACTTGGTCGGATTATACTTTGGTTGCAACAAGAGGTGAAATACAAAGCACAAGCGTAAGAGAAGTATTTCGTTTCATTCCGTGTAACCCAATCAGTCACAGAGGTGCAATATATATACTACAATATGTAACTGATGTATTAAAAACGAAATTGTAACAATAAATTTTAGAGAACACGATTAATTGAGAAATCAAAACTGAAATTTGTGATTAATAGCTCTTAGTTTCATTTTGTAACTTAAAAGAAAATAATTGCAAAATGATCATTCAATTTTTTTGGTCGACTGATGGTGCATTCGTAACCATGCTCGCACAGAAGTTTAGTAAACCGTAGCCCTCCTTGTGTGTGTAAAAGAGAGAGCCTTGTTCTATAAGTCTTACAATATAGCTAGTCTTTGTAGTTATAAACCGTTTTCATTTCATACTCCACCAATGTGGGATGAGTTAAAAGTCACTTAACCCATTTATTATTCTTTTTAAATTACCTTAATTCGACAAGTAATTTCTTATTCATCTTTAATACGTTTTGGACTTATGATATATCGAAACGAAGGTATTACGGAGGAGAATACACATATATAATCATTAGTCCATTTTGATTATATTTAGAGTCTAAAATTCGTGCTCAAAAATGAAAAAAAAAACCGTTTTTAAAGTTAGTAAAACTAATTTTCCAACAAACATACGTTTAATGTTTGTTGTCGGAACTTGAAGTTGTAATACTGGATTCAATTATATTTGAATAAGTTTCGTAATATGCAAGTAATAAATATCATAATATTTTTTAAGGAAATGTTTAACTCGATCATTTCAATGTCCAGTTACAAGTTCCAACATATTCATATCACTTAAAATGAGTCAAGCCATATTTAAAGCTTAGTAAAGCCAAAAAGTTAAATTTCAATTTGATTTTGTTGTCCGACGATTATTATTTATCAAATCTCAATCTAGATCGAAAAACTCATGGCAATTGGATTCTATTTGGTGACTTTAACACAGTTAGAAGGCCAAACGAGAGATTCAATTCCATCTTCTATCAAGAAAGTTCATCCGCATTCAATAGATTCATCCTAGAAGTGGAACTTCATGATTTCAACATGGGTGGTGAACGGTACACCTTCATGTCTAGAGTTGGTGCCAGATTGAGTAAACTAGACAAGTTTCTCGCTTGTTCCAATTTCCTCACAGCTTTTCCTTCACTTGTGGTTATGGTACATCCCCGTGAACTCTCTGACCATAATCCTGTTACACTCTCCTCTCAAGCAACTGACTACGGCCCACCTCCATTCAAACTATTCAACTCTTGGCTACTAAAAGCAGGATTCGACAACACCGTTAAGGAAGCTTGGGAAATGTTCGGTGGATATGGCAATCCTGATGCCTATCTGGCTGCAAAACTCAAAAACCTTAAAGAAGAGATAAAAAAAATGGAAAATGAAGAATGATAATATAGAAAGTATCGAGGTAGCACAAATAAAGGCAAATATCTCTCAACTTGAAACTGGCAGAATCAAGACCACTCACAGATGCAAAACACGGTTCACGAAATGAGGGTCTCAGGAAAATCCTTGAATTAGAAAAACTCGCGGTGTTAGATTTAAAACAAAGAGCAAGGGTAAAATGGACTGTGGAGGGCGATGAGAATATGAAATTCTTTCATGGCTACATCAACAACAAACACATGAGAAACACAATACATGGGTTACTGGTGAATGGTAAATGGGTGTCCTCGGATGAAGAAGTAAAAGGTGAAGCACTTAGATTTTTTAAGAACAAATTCACTAGACCAAAACTCATCAGCCCCTACATCAAATCCATTTCGATGATGGAAGCTATAAAACTTGAAGCCCCCTTCACACTTGAAGAAGTAAAAATTGCAGTGTGGGAATGTGGTAGTGACAAGGCGCCTGGCCTATGCAGATTTACTTTTAAATTCATCAAAACCTACTGGGATACAGTCAAAACTGACGTGATGAACTTCATCCTTCACTTCGACAAATTTAGTACCTTAGCACGGGGATGCAACTCAACTTTCATCAGCCTTGTGTCTAAGGTAAAAGACCCATCTTCACTATCTGATTATCGACCTATCAGCCTAATTGGATGCATGTACAAGATCATTTCAAAGGTGCTTGCATTAAGGCTCAAAACAGTTATTGGTGGAGTCATTGGAGATGTCCAATCAGCTTACATAGAGGGCAGGAGCATTCTGGATGGACCATTAGTGATAAACGAACTCTACTCGTGGGCGAAGAAAATAAAAAAGAGGATCCTACTATTCAAAGTAGACTTTGATAAAGCATTTGATTCAATAAATTGGGAATATCCAGATTCCATACTCATACAGATGGGCTTTGGCTCTAAATGACGTCTTTGGATTAGGGGTTGTCTGAACTCTTCTCATGCCTCTGTCATTGTAAACGGGTCTCCAACGAATGAATTCAAAATTTCCCAAGGTGTGCGTCGAGGTGACCCGCTTTCACCATTCCTTTTCATCATATCCATGGAAGGTCTCAACTCAGCAATAGAGGCTGCCAAAGACAAAGGATTATTCAAAGGAGTTCAAATTCCAAACGGTGGCCCTATTCTTTCGCATTTGTTCTATGCAGGCGATCCTTTATTTGTAGGTGAATGGTCAAGATCCAACCTAAAAAATCTAGCACGGATTCTTAGATGCTTTCACGTATCATCTGGCTTAAAAGTAAGCTTTCACAAATCCAAAGTGTTTGGAATTGGGGCGACTGAAGGAGAAATTACAAATTGGGACAATATTTTAGGATGTGAAGCATGATCTTTTCCCTTCAAATATCTCGGTGTCCCTGTTGGCGCGAACATGAATCTTATAAAAAGCTGGAAACCAATAACCGACAAATTTCATTCCAAACTATCATCATGGAAATCGAAATCCATCTCCTTTGGTGGTCGACTGACAATGATCACCTCAGTTCTAGGCAATCTTCCCACTCACTACGTCTCATTATTCACAGCACCGGTGGCGGTCATTGAGACTCTGGAACAACTTAGACGCAGATTCCTTTGGGAGGGGGGAGATGAAGATAAACGGAAAATACACTAGGTGGCATGGGATAAAGTAATAGCATCAAAATTTAATGGTGGGCTTGGCGTAGGATCAATACGCGCGCTGAATGTCATCCTAATAGTCAAATGGTGGTGGCGTCTGAAAAAAGAGGGGGACTCACTATGGGGGCGCACGATAAAAGGTATACACAACTTATACAATAAACCTCATGATTATTTTCTAGCAGGTACATCAATGGCGTGTGGCATAACATTGCAACCATAAAGAAGGATCTCAAGAGGCGTAACCTGGAAATAGGGGATGTGTTCGAACTACAACTCGGATCCAGTGACAACACCTGGTATGACAAATGGACCGATGGAGACCAATTGAAGAACAAATACCCCGACCTGTTCAACCTGGAGACAAGGAAAAGATGTAAAGTAGCGGACATAATCATTGACGGCTGTTTTGTAGGTCATTGGAATTCTTGCCCTATTGAATCTGGACTATCCAAGGATTTGGACAACCTAACGAATGAACTGTCCACGGTAAACTTGGCGAGCGGGCGTGATCAATGGAAAAGTAGACTTGATGTAGATGGTCGCCATACGGTTGGGGCACTACGGAGGTTAATCGATAAACAATCTGTTCCAAGTCAGATACTACCACCTATGCTATGGCACAGGGATGCACCTATCAAGGTGAACTTCTTTATTTGGAGAGCACTACAAAATAAAATCCCTTCTATGATGGCTCTAAGATCATGGGGTGTGGAGCTCGACTCGACATGCTGTGGTGCTTACTTTGCTAGTGACAAATGTGCCGATCACATCCTAGTAACATGTCCGTATGCGAGTGCAATAAGAGACAAAATATTTGACTGGTGTGGCATCACGCACCAAATATTTCACAATGTCAGGGATCTAATATGTTTTGCTACAAGCTGGGGTCAGTGTTCAAAAAAGAAAAAAAAAAGGCTCACGATGATATGCTACGGGCTTATATGGAGCCTCTGGAAATATAGAAATGACCGGACTTTTAATCTGAAATTTATCAGTATCTTTTGCGGAGCTGAGCAGATAAAATCTTTGGTGTATCTCTGGATCAAATGCAGAGGAAAAGGCGGTTTATGTGAATGGAAGGCGTGGTCATCATCTCCTTTCCATTTCTCCTAGTTTTCCTATGTATTTTTCTTTACTTACAACTACATGTTTTTTTTCTTTTTCTGTTTCTGCTCCCCTCTACTTTCTACTTTCTTACTAGTTGGGGTTCATTTTAATATAATTTTCCTGTTTCTAAAAATGTGACAATAAAAATAATAAAATATAGATTAAAGCCATGCTCGATAGACATACCATGGAAGTAGGAACCCGCCAACGATTGGGAAGTGAATTGTTATGATGCAATTGTTGGTTTCAAAAATATAACACATTTTAATATTTTGCTATTTACCTGATACTTAATGACCTTCAGGTTGGTATAGTGTGTCGTGCCTACATCAAGAATACACTTTGCCCCTTCTAATTTTTATTTTTTCTAACTACTAGTAAATTGTATAAAAGGAATTAAATTTTCACAAACAAATTATTTTTGATATTACGTTATTTTTTGTTTCAATTTAGTCACTAATTTTTTAATTTTTGTAATGTTGATCACTTAACGGTCAACTTAGGTGTCGTTTGTTTTTCGAAGCGAAAATGTTTGAAGTCTGCGGACCACCTCTGCAACCCTCTGTAGCATAAGAGAATGACCAAACGGCTGCAACATGTAATAAAGTATGTTTGTTTTTTAACATTTATAAACTGCTGCAATAAGTTAAAGTAAGGTGTGAAGAGATTTGAAGTAAATAGTCAAGTGTTGCGTCATGCATACACACACAACAGTTTTTAAGTTAGAAGTCTTCTGAAAAACAAACAGTTGCGAATGACCAAGTGATGTGCGTGTGCTGCGCAGCGCAACAATAAGTGGTCAGAAGTGATTTTTTTGAAAAAACAAACAGCACCTTAGTTACCTACTAACGTGGTAGTTTTGATGACGTGGCGCCGACATGACACTCCTTAAATACATGACACTGAATGTTAAAATTGAATATATATATATATATATATATATATATATATATATATATATATAATGAATTTTGTGATAGTTATGCAAAAATGTAGTAACTTTTGTACAATTTGGTCATATCATAAAAAATTTTAAAAAAATGAAAAATCAGACAACCGAGTAATTAGTTAGTTTTTGACACCCTAAATAAAAAATAAGATAGATGACATATTAATCTTCCCTAATAAATAAAAATACTTTTGCCACTTGTCATCTTCTCCTTCATTTTGACACATGTCATTTTTTAGGATTTTTAAAATTGTTATTTTCCACTTGTCATTTTTTGGGGATTTCAATTTTCTTAAAATAAATTTCCAAAAAATCCAATGAGTTATATATATATATATATATATATATATATATATATATATATATATATTCTATTAATTTGATAATAAATTCTCATAAATACTCCAAATGATTTGATTTCTTTCATAAATGCTCCAAAAGATTACATTTTGTTTTGAAAAAACATTATTTTTGTAAAATATTTAATGTTTTTATATATTAATATTAAATTTTTATTTTTAATAAACTCGTGAAATATACGGGTGTCACACCTAGTTATACTATAATAGTAAAAGCCACATTCACCAAGCAATTTCTTACATTCTTTTTTCAAATCGTTCTCCTTCACTAGAAAAGTATGCAAACATATTTAGAACAAGATTAAGGTGTGTGTCGTATATTTTGTGGGCTATTGAAAGACTTATACGATAACAATTTATCATGTTTCCTTAGGTATCACTTTTCGAAAAAATTCAAGTATTTTAATGCATCATCACTCCAGTTGTGCAAGATCCACTTAATTGCAAAAAAGAATACTGTTATTAATTTGTATTCTAACACCTATTTTCTGTTGTTTTACTTTCCTTTTACATACAATCCTTAGAGAATAGATATAATATGTAATGTTGTAACTTGTACGGTTGGGTTCTATTCAGTTATTGAATTTGTTTATATATTAGTGTGTGTATAATTTATGATCCTTTTTTTTGTAGATTACTTTATATCTAAAGACCGATAACAATGGTTATGAAGTAATAATATTATGATTTCATTTTTGAGTAACAAAACATACATTCATGAAGATCATATCTATAGGGGGAATGACCATAAACAAGTCACCAACAACATGAGTAACCCCATACATATTGATCTTAGGAGTGCAGGTCATACATATATTGAATGTTCTATTGAACTCTGAATTGACCAAAGAACAATTATACATTTTTTCATCATTATAACCAAAGATGTTTTTATTTCTAGGGTATAAAAAACTCAACTAGTTACTCGGTTTTCGACTGAGTTTTCATTTTTTTTATGATAAGACTAAATTGCACAAAAATCACTATATGCGTATATTTTAAAAACTATCACAAAATCATAACTTTTTTTAAAATTTTTTTCTGACACCCACTGTGATGTCATCAAGGAGCGTCACATCCACGTCATGTCATGATATCATGTCAATGTTATTGTCACATCATCAAAATTGATACATCAACAGGTAACCTGTGTTGAGCAATTTAAATTAAGCGGTAAACACTACAACAATTAAAATACATAATGACTAAACGTTAACAAAAAAATCATACAATATTAAAATCATTATTTTTATACAAACTTAATGAGTTTTATAAAATTTACCCATTCAAATATACATTATATTTATGTTTCATAAATAATCAAAACCCATACGAAAATATTAATAGATTAATAGTTATCATAAGAGAAAAAGAGCTACATATATACGTGACATATATGGTAATGGTATGCAAAGAAGATGCGCTCCACGGTCCACCCTCCCACGTCGCCACGCTCCCCTTTAAGTTTTAATCAATTTTATCCCTTGCATTACGCCACCAATATCCAACCACCCTCCACGCTCCCTACATTGAACTAAAATATCTATATATAAAAATTAATGATTAAATATTTAAATGTATACGTGAAAATTAAAATTTATGTTGTACTAAATAACGGAAGGTAAACCGGAATGGAAGTCGGCGGTGGCCGGTTGGAAAGGGTCGTCGGTTGCCACTTGCCACGTCATCAAACGAGAATTGAACAAAATTTGATTTTGTCTTTTTCAAATAAAAACCAATTAGTCAATCACGGGCTAATTGACACATCTATATAGTATATACGATTAAGTCGCCGTTTACGTTGTTTTAGTCATCCAAGTGGAAGTGGATATATTTCTAACACGTTAATAAATAGTTGGTTACGACTTACTTACAACACATTGCTTTTTTCGATTATCCGATTTATGGATTACGCCAAGACCAAGAGTATTTTACTTTATGGAAAAATATCAGAAAACACACTTTATTATATGTTAATTATAAAAAAAAATCATGATATTAATTTTGTGAGTACTATTTTTTTAAACTGTCCAATTATGTTCTAATAAGAGGTTTTTCAATAAGATGTATATAATAGTTGCGTTTTTATGATATTACAAAACGTTTGATAGAGAGGTTTTATGTATTGATTAATATAATATAAGATTTTAAATGCTCAAAAATTAATATGTTAATTTTTATGTTTCATAAAGGATTTGTTTTATGTATGTATTGAAATTATAGGAGAGTTATACTAAGACATAAAGATAATATAACGGTTCTATCCAATTTAATATATCAACATTCTCTTTCTATGAACTATCTTAGATTAATAATGTATAAGTAACTATTAAAGAGAATATCAAGATATCACTCACTTCAAATAATTTGAGTTTTTGTATTTACGATATTGGTTGTGATTCGAACACACATTTTCTTTTTTATTTTATTGTATGTTGTGGTCCAGACGTCCAGTCGTGTTTCAAAGACCCGGGCTCTTCTAATCGTGTCCGAGTCCAACAACTACGTTGAGTTATGTTTGGGGCCCATTCATATACCTCATTCGTTTTATACCAAATTATTGAATTAAGGACCAAGTAAATGGTAAATCCACACATATTCAAAATACTTGGTCAATATTCAATAACCATATATAAAGATGGTTTTCACCAACAATTTGCTATTAAATAAACAAAAATTTTAAAGACCAAAGTCACCCTCAAAATCAGTGACACGATCAAACCATTTAAATTGGTTCACAACCAACACATATATTGCTTTGACTTTTTTGTTTATTGCTTATCCTAATAATCATATCTTAAAAGACAGACACATTTGATAACGGATACGGATCGAACGACACCAAAATTCTAAAATTTTAAGTGATGGTATATATCAATTTGTTATGGTGTGTTTCTTTTTGATTTAATATACTTAGTATATAAAAACTTAAATGGTTCAACTATACACTTGTTTCTTTTTTACTTAATGTTAAAAAATGTCTTAATGAATTAAGTTGGGAAAATGATATCCTTAACACTTAAATATATATTTTTTCCAATTATTATATTTTTTTCTCCACATCAAACCACGTTCTATTCATTTCTACTTATCTCAATTACTCTTTATCTAAAATTCTAAATTTATAACATACAACATCACAACCATTTCCTTTGTTGCATATCTTCTTCTACAAATATTAAACATCTTCTTGATCTAAACTGTTTCTTCTTGTGCTTTCAAAGTTATTGTCTTTTATTTTCATTTTTCTTCTTCACGGTGAAAAGTCATAAACAAATTAAATATTCTCCTATATTTTATTTTACAAATCTTTTTACCCAATTAAATGATGATATGTGTAACATTTAATATTCATTTAATGAAATTTAATGATATTTTAGTATACTAATATGACATATGTCATCATTTAAATGTGTATAAAGACTCATAAAAATAAAAAGTAGGAGGATATTTAATTTCTCAAAGTCTTATGTTGGCCCTAAACTATCACACTACACAAATTATAAATATATACAAAATGCAAATTTTTATATGTAAGTGTAAAACACTGTACCTAAAAGTGCATATTCTTATATACAATGTATAACTATGTTAATGCCGGAGGTTTAAGTTTAATCTTTCAACTTTTTATAAGCCGTCACTTCCAACCTTTCTATTTTGTATAATTATATTTTTTATTCCTTTACTTTTTTTTTAAA